ATGGGAGTTTTGAATATCTGCTAGATTAGTTCCCACCACATAGTTAGTTTTATTCCTGGGTTTTCTCACTTGTGTTTTGGTATAAACTTTGAAATCAATTTATCCAGCTCCAGAAAAAACTAACACATTTTGACTTGATCTGTTTGAGAATATAAACTTTCTTATCAGTCATTCAAATCTCCCCCTCCATGAATATTTTAAAGATTTTCCATATCGATTTTCACAACTCTTGTTAAGGCCACAGGTACCTTATCTTTTTTGTTGCTATTATAATTGGTATCTTCTCTTCAACTGTATGTCTTCTAATTGGAATATACAGTGATTTTGTCATGTTTTATCTTGTGACTGCACTGAATTTTCTTACTATTTGTGGCAGTTTCATATTTTTCTCTTGGGGGTTCTGGATATGCTCCACGTCTTTTTGTTGTTAATCCTCACCCAAGGATATTTTTTCCATTGATTTTTATAGAGTGGAAGGGAGAGAAGGAGGGAGGGAGATAGGCATGGAGAAAGGGAGAGAGAGAGAGAGAGAGAGAGAGAGAGAGAGAGAGAGATTGGTTGCCCCCTGTACATGCCCTGACCGGGGCTGAGATTGAACCTGCAACCCAGATATGTGTCCTTGATCTGGAATTGAACCCATGACCCTTTGGTGCATGGGCCCATGCTGTAACCACTGAGCAACACCAGCCAGGGTACTCAAAGTCTTTTTCACAAGAGAGTTTAAAAGGCTCCTTTCCGTTTTCCTGGATGGTTCTCTTCTCTTGTGCAACTGTAATGGCTTATCTTCTGTGGGAAGGAGCAGGACATAAAGGGGCAGCTTGCCCTTGACCCTAATTTTAGCAGAAATGCACTCCATGTTACCCACTAAAGAAAGGCTACCTTTAGGATGAGGTATATATCTTACTAGAGGCCCGGTGCATGAAATTTGTGCACGGGTGCAGCCCCTAGGCCTGGCCAGTGATCGAAGCACCAGCATCTGGCATGGAAGGGCAGGTCCCAGCTGACCTCTGGACCCTGGGCAGCACCTGGGCCGCCGGGCCCCTGTGTGCCCCCCTCCACCTGAGTCATGGTGCCCGAGTCCCCACACAGAGATGCGGTGAGCGCGGCTGGACACTGTGGGCCTCTGGGATTCCCAGCAACACCACATGGAAGCCAGGCGGGCAGAGTGTTCTCTCCTGGCCAGCCTTGCAGACTGGCTCCTGAGTGAACCCACAGGGAGCCTGACTGGCCCAACTCACCTGGAAGAGGCTGTACGGGTGCAGGGCGGGCTCCTCGTGGGCACCCAGCACCTGAGCATGGGGGCTTCCCTGGTGCGCAAGCCCTGGCGCCCCAGGGGAAGGTAGCAGGGGGAGTGAGAGCGAGCTCAGCAGATGCCCTGCATTCTCACCACATCTCCGTCCATGTCACCCCCACCCCCAGGTAGCCGGGGAGAGGTTGCAGCCCCCCGCCCGGGCGCTGTGGGAGGTTGGTCACTGCCACCCACCCCCAGTTCCCCGTTCCAGCCTGGGTCCTGCTGGCCGGGGGGCGGGGCCAACTGCCACCAAGGCAGCAGAGGGATGATCGGGGGGCCTTCCGGCCAGAGGGAGGGACCGGGAGGTTGGCTGGCAGGCCTCATCCAGCAATCGAGGCCTGCAGGCTGGGGGCAGCTCCTTCATTGAGCGTCTGCCCCCTTGTGGTCAGTGCACGTCATAGCGACCGGTTGTTCTGGTTGTTCTGTCATAATGGTCACTTAGGCTTTTATATATAAAGACTAGAGGCCCGGTGCACAAAAATTTGTGCACTCGGGGGGGGGGGGGGTTCCCCCAGCCCGGCCTGTGCCCTCTCGCAGTCTGGGACCCCTTGGGAGATAACGACCTACTGGCTTAGGCCTGCTCCCACGTGGCAGAGGGCATGCCCAATCCCTAGGTGCAGCCCCTGGTCAGGCTCAGAGCAGGGCCGATTGGGGAGTTGGGGCGCCGCCCCGTCATGCACAGAGCAGGGCGGATCAGGAGGTTGCGATGCCACCCTCAGTCATGCTCAGGGTACAGCTGATTGGGGGGTTGGGGCACCGCCCCCTGTAACACTCAAGGCAGGGTTGATGGGGAGGTTGCGGCACCACCCCCTGTCACACACAGAGCAGGGCCAATCAGGGGGTTGGGGCGCTGCCCCCTGTCACGCACAGAGCAGGGCCCATCAGGGGGGTTGGGGCTCCGTACCCTCTCATACACAGAGCAGGGTCGATCAGGTGGTTGGGGAGCTCCCCCCTGTCACGTACAGAGCAGGGCCCATCAGGGGGTTGAGGAGCTCCCCCCTGTCATGCACAGAGCAGGGCCGATCAGGGGGTTGAAGAGCTCCCCCCTGTCACTCACAGAGTAGGGCCGATAGGGGAGTTGGGGCACCGCCCCCTGTCACACACAGAGCAGGGCGGATCAGGGGGTTCGGGCGCTGCACCCTGTCACACTCAGGGCAGGGCCAATGGGGAGGTTATGGCTCTACCCTGTCACACACAGAGCAAGGCCCGTGGAGGGGGGTTGGGGCGCCACCCTCTATCACCCACAGAGCAGGGCCGATCAGGGAGTTGGGGCGCCGCCACTGTCACACTCAGGGCAGGGCCAATGGGGAGGTTATGGCTCTACCCTGTCACACACAGAGCAGGGCCCGTGGGGTGGGGGGGTGGGGGGGCGCCGCACCCTGTCACACACAAAGCAGGGCCAATCAGGGGGTTGGTGCGCCGCACCCTGTCAAACACAGAGCCGCAGGGCAATCAGGGGATTGGGGAACTCCCCCCTATCAGGCACAGAGCAGGGCTGATCAGGG